TTTATATCTGTACTGTTATGAGCTGGCCAACTTGCATAAATGTCTATCACCTGTTTGGTTTTTCTTTGCCTTGTTTTTTTATTGTTTTGAAATATTTTTGTAATAATGTATATGGTAGAAATTTGAATAAAAATAATATATAAAACTATAGGCTTTACATGAATGCAGTCATTATAGATATTCCTATAAAAAAAGTATATATAGGATGGATATGCCATCATTGTTCGTTATTAAATAAGGCACCAAGCGGTACGTACAACATCTGTAAGAAGAAATCTAGTCCGTTAAATGGAATGTAAGAAGAAATCAAGTCTGTTAAATGAAATATTTTAACATTTTATATTTATCAAGAGTTTGTTAATGCACGCGGTAAAAACCGTTTGTGAATGGAGTATTTTGTTTGCTGTGGTATTTGCACTACACGTTTGTTATGGCCGCCATAGGAATGAAAGTAATTTCGCAGTCATTCATGATTAAGGAAACATATCAATCACTAAGTCGATTTATTTAGAGTGTTAGTCAGTTGTTACAATATTGTCTACCATTGCACCCCAAAAAAAAATTAGGTACAGTTTTTTGATGAAAATATGCTGAAAGAAACTACTGTAGCATCATAAAAATTGATAACATCAGGTTATTCAATTTTATTGTCATTTCTTAAAATGGCATATTAGGCATATTATATAATTTATTTAGAAAAATGTTGTAGCGTCAAGTGATTGCCAAAATTAGAACACTTTTCATTATTACAAGGTCTCTGGCGCGCGCCGAAAACCATTTGGTAGGTCTGATAATGTGGGTTGTTCCCAAAAGCGACCATTAATCATTACGGTTGTTAATTCTTCAAGTCTTCAACTTTGTAAATCGGTAAAGGGGGATGCAGTATTGGAATAAAAAAACTATTATATTATCATCGTTATTATCGTTATCATTATCACACCACAAATATTATAACAATATTATAAATATTCAACATATAGTTTTGTTATCGAGTATTAATTTATAAGCCAAACCAACAAAATTATATAAATAAGTAATACCGTTTAACTACAAATTATTATTGGACCAGGCTTGAGAAAAAGACATGATATTAATATCATTTATGTATAGGGCCTAATTACAAGTAAAATAGGGTAATTTCAGCACCAAGTCCACTAATGATCGCGGTATATTCTGAAGGCAATTCATAATCATTGACTTTAAATTAGGAGCGCATTATGCTAAAAGCAACTTGTACTGAAAATACAACAGAAAATTTAGAAATTAGAAAATAATAATGTGTATTATTAAAACTGTTATATAACATTGTCTTAAAATGTTTTGTTAGTGTACAAAGTCCAGGTAAACCGTAATAGCCTAACAACTTGAATGATAGGCCCTATATTATTTATTGAGAAAATTGAATCCATATGTTCTAAACAGGTCGCTGTGCTTCCTTGCACCAGAATGACCCATTTTTGTTACTACCTTTCAATCGGCTTCAACCACGGCTCACCGCTGAGTTACCGTTAATTGCAAAGTTTTTCAGCATTCCACACTGCTTACGTTTCATTCTAAATCTATCGAGCGTGTCCTCGCTGAATATTGCCCTCGAATTTTCATCGCGTTTTAATCGTGTGTCAAACGCAGTTGATGGTAAAGGATTTCAGAGCACTACTGTATAATGCTATGAATACTGCGAGGCAATGATGTAGTTCCCATAATGTTGAGGTGGAGCCCATGTCTAGTGAAACAACTACATGATTTAATGAACTTTCTGTGGTCGATGAAATGGTGTTTGAAGACAGACTTCAACATTTCATTTGCCATTTTCACTTTTTAATTGGCATTTATATCGTCAAAGCATTGACATAGACCAGAAATATACACGTTACCTGATATTTTTTGTTCAAGTAGGGTAACTAGTAGGGTAACTTCTTTCACAATTTTGCATTTATTCATAATTTTCATAACATTTTACACTCAAATAGTCACTTGTTTAGGCCTACGCTGGACCTAGGCTATGCCTATTACTATAATATTTAAATATACAATTTTAATAGATAAAATTAATTTAACATGGACATAGTAATTCATATATAAACAATACATTAAATTTAAATATAAATACAATAATGTTAATGAATAAATAACAATAATTAAAATTTGTACATAGCCTCATCATTACTACAATAATAATATTAATATTTTTCAATCTTATAATCAATTTTATATAGCCGAAGTTAGTATTGACCTAGGCTACTATTTCTAACGACAGGTACGCTTTCTCCAATATAAAGGCTTTTTCTATGAATGGAATGACCTGTATGAAACACAAACTCCTCTAGACCAAACCAGTACTGTTACAATTTTAATCATGCAGGAAATATCCTCAAGAAGGAAGGTTTATAAATACCATTGACATAAACAAAACAAATAGTAATATCCCAGCCCTAAACATATATCCAAAATATAGATTTTAATCTTTAATACGATTCTACCAAATAATCAAATTTAAACTTATGCGACAAGGAGAGTCTTAAAGGGAGGGGGTGGTGACTATCTCCCAGTGGTGGATGTGTGTTGCATAAATTTCTATTACTAATGTTCTAATACAAGAAAGACCAGAGTTTGTAATATCACAATTGTACCACATAATGTTCTAATACAAAAATGTAACATCACATGCTATATACACATAATGTGAGGGTGTGTAAGTGGGGGATTTATTTGGAGGGTCATCAGCATACATGGAGAAAACAAGTGAAGAAATCCATTAATAGTTTCATGGTTAACAAATCCGGACCTCTGCATAACTTCAACACAAGCTCAATATGAATTCTATAATCCCAGATACTTATACAATTCATAAAATTCTATAATTGAAATTGAGACAAAGGAAGTTTCTTTCTTCCTCTACAAATAAGACTAGAAATAATCATGTAGCTTGTAACAAGTAACTCGCCAATTACAGGATGGAATGGTGCTTTTGTATTTTATGATGGTTAGGTCTTTTATCTATTTAATTAAACATATTTTTTTTATTGATTCATATTCTTTTTTGTAATTCCAAAATATTATTTTGTGTCTCAGAAATACATGGTTTTTCCAAAGAATTACTGTACCCAGCAATTTTGTCTAAAAATGTATTTCCATTGGGGTCTTTTTGATGGTTGAATTAATTTAACAAGAGCAATGACAATGAAAAGGAGTACTGACTGTAATAATTTGTATTCAATATATAACAATTTGATTTATTGAATAGTTTTCAGTCTCTACAAGTCATGGTAGGTTGATAGCAAATGGCTATACCTAATCACATTATTAAAGATACTGTAAACCCTTGAAAAAACACCATTTCCTTATTTTGAGACACTTTATCCAAATCAAATAATAACCCAGTAAGTTTGTCAAAAGACTTATTTCCATTGGGGTATTTTTTGATGGTTGAATTGATATAACAAGACAACGACAATGAAAAGGATTACTGACTGTAATAATTTGTATTCAATACATAACAATTCACTGCCTTGAATAGTTCTCAGTCTCTGCTTTCACAAATCATGGTTGGTTGATAGCATACAAAAAGAAATAGCTTATACCAAATCACCTTACTTGATAACAGTAAACCTTTGAAAAAACACCCATTTCGTGATTGGAGACACGTCACATATGCACCTCACAGAAAACCCAACAATTTTAAGGTAAATATTTCATTACTTTATGCTGTTTAATACTACTGTAGATCCAATGTATAATATAATGATTCAGAAATACCATTTAGGAAAGCCCCAACATATATGATATATTCAATTCATAAGGTACAGTATATACATGCAGTTTACTAAACTACTAAATATAATATATCAAATATTACTACTTGAAAGGCATATTATTCAGAAGCTCCATGGTTTAACATTATAGATCTGAAAAAAATTTTAGTAAAAATAAGATCATTTATTAAAAAACGCCCTCGACAATTTTAATTCTTTAAAAACAGTTTAGTACTTTTGAAGTCTAACCAATGACATATAGCATGGTAAAACCATTATTTTTAACTTGGTTACCATGTACATCTATCATTATGCATTATAATTATAAGTACAACTTTTTATTATTATCATTTATCTATTCCAAATTATAAAATAATTATTAAAATTATTAAAAAATTCACAGGATTTTACATCAAGATGGCTGCCTATAAGTTGGATCAATTTCTTGAAAATGTTGACAAGAAGGTGTTAGAATGTACTGTCTGCTTTAAGAGACTTCAAAATCCTAAATCACTAAACTGCCTCCATAGTTTCTGTTTGGCATGTCTGGAAGATTGGGTTAAGGAGAAGGGTAAGCTGACTTGCCCAACTTGCTCAAAATCATATCCCATTCCAGAGGGCGGGCTTCAAAAGCTTCCACCAAATACCTTTCTAAATAACTTGTTAGAAACTATTGAGCAATTTTCAGAAGAAGATCAGATGAAATGTAGTGTTTGTGAAGAGGAAGGACAGGTAAAATACTACTGCCAGGATTGCAGACAGTACCTGTGCTCTACTTGTAGTGATCAACATAAGAAGTTTAAAGCCATGGCGAATCACAAGTTACATTTAATGGAGGATGTGCAATCAATGAGCCCCTCTCAGATGACTTTGTTACATCCACCTCTGTGTTCACATCACAGTAAACCTTTAGAGTTCTACTGCACAGATTGTAAAACTCCAATCTGTATGAACTGTACAATTGTGGACCACAATGCATGGGATGGAAAACACAAATCAATTAACATTTCAGATGCATTCCAAGCATTTAAAGAAACTTCAGCCACCTTAGAAAAATCTGCCCAAATCATCATAAACAAATTAGAAGATGGTCTCAAAGCTGTTATCCAGAATGCTACAAAATTACAACAAAGTAAACATACAAGTTTGAGTGAAATAGACAATCATGTGGAAAAAATATTCGAAATAGTAAAGGAAAATAGAGACAAACTGAAAAATGAAGTAGAGACAATCTACAAAAGAAAAAATAAGGTAAATGATGTACAAATGGAAGAATTAAAAACAACAATATCTGATATAAATACAAAACTGTCTTTTCTTTACCAATTATTGAAGAGTGATGAAGGCACAGCAATGCAGTCAAGTGAAACAGTAATTACAGCACTCAAGGACAGAATCAATGAATTACCAAAAACAGAGCCAGAAGATAATGGAGAAATTTACTTTTTTGTAAACAAACAGCAAATGGCTTCATTGAAACAATGTGACATTGGGACTGTAAAACAATTGAGGGCAGCAGATTATTTAACATTAAAAGGAGAGGAATCTGTGATAACATGTCAGACAACTGTTGTCAAAATAATCAAAACAGATGAACATGAAATATATGCCAATGAACTGAAGGCAACTTGGACACATCCTACAGGGGAAACCAACATCTGTCAAGTTCAGGAAGATAACAATGGACATTATTTTGTGACAGGAAAATGGTCAATTCCAGGAGTTTGTAAATTAGATGTGAGTGCAGATTACGAACCAATTAACCAATCACCAATGATAATCAAAGTAGAAGAGGGAAGATTATTAAATACTATTCAAATAAATGCAACATTTATTGGAGATGTAGTTAAATGTGAAGATGATTGCTTAATGGTTTCATGTATGACAAATGAAATTCTCAAGTACAAGCAATCAGGAGAATATATTGGTAAGATTACACTACCACAAGGTGTGGAAGTATCCAGAATGTACAAAATGAATAATGGCAACATAGCATTCAGTCATATAAAAACTAGATCCATTAAAATATGCAATATGAATGGTGAGGTAATACAGACATTTGGTGAGGGAGTACTGAGTTCACCACGAGGTATTTATTTTGTTCAGGAATGGAATTCTTTGCTTGTAGCAGATTTGGACAGAAGCAGTGTGTACATGTTTTCCATGTATAATGGCGGTAAGTACGCCCAGAAGATAAGCTCAGTAAGCACAATACAAGGTCAAAAGTGTGGTGTCATTGATACTCTTTCACACAAAAGGCACATTCTTGTATTGACGCATTATACCAGCACATTGCAATTATTTGATAAAAGTAGCGGAAGTGTTAAGTTCAAGAAATTCCTTATTAATGGTGAGGAATCCACGGTGAGGAATCCATGTGGAGTAGTAGTTGATGAGGATAACAATATCATTATATCAAGTCTAGACAAACTACAGCTATTCAGTAGTGATGGAAATTTCATTAAAAGAATTGATAAACCAGAAGATGGAATAAATAATCCAAGCGGACTATCAATCATTTCATATCATCCAAGGAGACTTGCAGTAGCAAATAACAAAACAGTAAAAATATTCAATTATTAAATTTCGACAGACTGCCCCCCCGCCCCCAACAGTTTTTACCGGGCTGACAAAAACGTCATACTGGGCTAGATAATAAGAGAAAGAAAGAGGGGAGAGGAAGGAAAAGAGAAAGAAGGGGAAAAGAAAAGGAAAGAGGATAAGAAAAAAGAAAGGAAAAAAAAAAAGAATTAAAAGAAAGATATCTTAATGACCAGACTCACACAATACCCTGCAACCTATTCTCAAATTCATAAAGTGTCCATAGCTCCTTTGATCTAAGCCGATAGATATTCTCCGCAGTGGCGCATTTTTGAGGGTGAGAACTTGTGCTTGTCCTTTGCCTTCTAAGTTAATTGAACACAGTCCCAACTCAAATAGAAAGAACATTTAAGATAGATCGTTTTACCTAAAAGGAGGACCTCAATGTGTATTGATGATGAAAGAATATGTTTGTAATAAATAAAACCATGATGAAAATGCTTATATTTAGTTTCAAAGACACGTGTGTGGCCTATATTATAAATAAGATAAGCCCTATGTCGTATTGTTTTCTATATGGGGGGGGGTATAATGATAAATTTCTAACCGGGAAAATGATCACCTTTGCCCCCTCCTGACCCAACAACCCTGTTACGTGCCTGAGTTTAAGGTGTATGACAATCTACATATATTAATTATAGTATCATCCATGTAGAGTTGAAGTAGGGATCTTAAACTTTTAAAATATTTACTGAACACAATGATATCCATATACAGTTATGGTTAATAAACTGTTAACAGTTTAATAACCATAACTTAACTCTATATAGATATCACTGTATTGAATAATTAAATATTTAATTATTCAATACAATAATTTCTATATAATTGAAGCTATGTTATATCAACTATTTAATTATTCAATACAATAATACTGTAATCTGCCAACCAAATTGTTTACAGAGTTTTTATCAAATTTGAATCACACACTTTAGTCTAATGGTTTTTATTTATATAATATGCCTATCCATGTTATTTTTGTTTTATATTGATGTTTAAATTGTAATTTTCAATCCATTTGGAATTTTTTTCATATTGTATGTAACTTGCATATCTTTGATTTTCATACATTCCAATACAGATAAAATAGAAATACATAGAGTTGACGTTATGGTTTTATGAAACTGTTAATTTAATTACTGAATGCAATGATATCCATATAGAGTTGAAATTATGGTTTTTTAGCTGTTTAAAAATATTTAAGTTTAGTTTAGTTTGTTTAAGTTTAGTTCTCATCAAATTTGAATCACACATTTTTTATCATTTAATGGTATGGTTTTTGTACTGCTTTTGAATTTTTATGTTTTTATTCATATTATGTCTATGTATGTTATTTTTCTTGCATATTGATAAAATTGTACTTTTCAATCCATTGGAGTTATTTTGTATAGCCTATCAACTTGCATATCTTTGATTTTCATACACTTTATTCATATTATGCCTATGCAAGTTATATTCTTGCAAAAATGGAAAAAAATTCTAATAAGCACGCAACAGAGTGTGGTGTCCAACAGAGTGTTTATTATAAATATACCTGTACATACATTTATATCCATGAAATGAATAAGGAGTGGTGTCATTGATGTTACTCTTACAAACCAAGGACACCTCCTTGTGTTGGAGGATGCCAACAAAAGATTACAATTATTTGATAATATGTACGTTCACATAAGCTGTCATGATAAACTTATCATGATCTATTCATCATGCTAACTTTAGCACGTTAGAAAAAACCGTTCATATAGAAACCATCATCATGATCTATTTATCTAATGCATGCAGTGTTGCATGAAAACTACCAGAAGCACAACCAATGAGGTTGGGACCTGTTTAATAAACTGATGGCTGATTGATTGAATTCAATCTCATGAATTAATTTATCACGTTAACCAAGGTTAATCATGATGAATCAACATGCTCCACTAGATCACAATAAGGTGATTAAGCTGAGCACGTTATTTGATTCTGGTTGGTTCACATAAAGTGACTGGCTTGATCATCATCCACTAGATCACGTTAAATTCTGAATGTGAACCTAGCTAATGAGGGAAGGTTCATAAACATCCTTGTTGAAGCAAGTGATGAGGTTGGCAAGGTGAGGCATTCAAGTGCATAGTAGTTGATGAGGATGGCAACATCATTATATCAAGTGAACACAAACTACAGCAAACATTAGTGACACAACAGTAAAAATATTCAATTATTAAATATTGACAGTCCACTTGCTTCACTTGTGTGTTTTTGTCAATTTAAATTTATAAGTGTAAGGTGTACGACAATCTACATATATCAATTATTATATTATCATCCATGTTGCTGACATCTCAAAAAGAGCCAACATGAAATTAGGAATCATTGAAAGATCTTTATGTTTTTCTAAAATCAAAAGGGCTTTTAAAGTTGTTGTGAGACCTATTTTAGAGTATTGCAATGTTGTATATTCTCAAAATTTTAAGAAAGATGAAGACCTTCTTGAGAAGGTACAGCAGCGTGCTACTAGGATGTTTCCTGAATATCATCATCTTTCATATGAGGAACGATTGAAAGCCTTAAATCTTCCAACACTAAAGTATCGAAGACAGTTTGCAGATTTATTGCAAGTGTTTAGAATTGTTCATGGTTTTGATAATATTTGTAAAGATTACTTTTTGGATTTTAATACTGATAGTATCACTAGAGGCCATTCATATATATTAAAGCACCATTACTCTAGAACTAATCTCAGGAAAGGGACATTCTAAAAGCGCATTATTAAGAATTAGAATTCATTGTCTGAGGAAGATGTTAATGCTACATCCTTAAACATGTTTAAATCTGCAATTGAGAGGCATTGGGCTGACCACCCTGTAAAATTTGCGCAATACACAAAATAGTATAGATTGTACATCTAGGGGCCAATAAGTATTGCATGCTTGGCTTCTATACCCAGGATTACAGTTACAGTCATCCTGGGAATCAAGTAGAGTTGAAGTAGGGATCTTAAACTTTTAAAATATTTACTGAACACAATGATATCCATATACAGTTATGGTTACTAAACAGTTTAATAACCATAACTTAACTCTACATGGATATCATTGTATTGAATAATTAATATTTAATTATTCAATACAATAACTTATATATAATTGAAGTTATGTTATATAAACTATTTAATTATTGAATATAATAATACTGTAATCTGCCAGCCTAAATTGTTTACAGAGTTTTTATCAAATTTGAATCAGACACTTTAATCTAATGGTTTTTATAACATATAACATGCCTATCCATGTTATTTTTGTTTTGATGTTTAAATTGTACTTTTCAATCCCTTTGGAGTTTTTCATATAGTCTATAACTTGCATATCTCTGATTTTCATAAATTTTAATATTTGCAAGTTTTTATTTTTTATTTTTTAGTACCTGTATAATTCCTTTATTTTTTGCATGAAATAAAATGCAACGAAGCACAAAACAGAGTGTACTGTATGTTATAAATTCACCAACAGACATTTTTATCAATTAAATGAATAAGATGTGTTGAGCTAGATAATTATTCTTGTATATATGGTTTCTTATAAACCTGATTCTGCATATAAATAGCCTGATTTAAGTGGTCAGTCAGGGAAATACTTACAGGGGGTGGGGGGTTAAGTATTTTATTCTTTCATCATCATAAAAAAGAATTTACTGTATATGATTAGTAGTTAAGCTTAGCTTTTGTTTGCATTCATTCAAAAATTTTAACCAGTGTTCATAAGTAAATTTATTGTAAATTTCTTCATGTATATTTTGACAATAAATCATCTGAATCTGAATAGATGTACTGTAGAGTATTTGTTATTTGTTTGATTCTAATGTACTGTTATCTAGTACACAGTAGTTTGTGGTCATGTATTACAGAGAACTGCATCTCATGATGACTCAAGATTGAATCCTATCATTAGTTCTCATCAACAAACTTATCTAACAGTGTATCATGCCTTACTAAAATATCTTTGAAAATGTCTGATGGCTTTCGTCAAAAATAACAGGCAGACCACATATGATACAAAGTAAATACTAAGCTCAGAGAGATTATAAAGTTACCTGATATCTATCTATCTATCTATGTACCATCCAAAAACAAAAACACAATAAAAAGGAAACAAAAATGCAGATGGACCAGCATCACTCCTCTGTGTGTCCACACTTCATGTCTCCAAAATGAGGATCTGCTGGCAGTTGTGGCACTGTTAATGTAATTGTGATATGATTTCTTTTACATTCAACTGCAAGAAACTCAACTATTACAGAATGGAATGATGCTTTCTAGAATTAAAGTACCTTTATTAAGATATTTAGGCTCACAGGCACATGCACCAAGGATGTTGCCAATAGTGAATATGTTACTGTCCTACTTGTACAGTAGGTGACAATCGCTTTTCACAAGACAAGCACACACACACACACACACACACACTAAATCTCGATATGAGGTTTAGGGAGTGTATTTGCTTTGGTCATGAGAAAAAATCTTGAAACATCACTGACAGGAATGAACCAGAGACCCTTGGTTGAAAGGAAGCCTCTTAACCACTGAGCTATTCAACTCAACTCCAATATTAAACTACCAAAGGAAAAAACTGTCTGACAGAGGTCAAAACAGTCTGACAACTGTTGACAATTTTTCGCAGAGGCCAGTTGGGGCACCATGTACTGATGAGGTACCATTCCAAACCTACAGTAATGCCTAGCTGGCACCCATTCAAGGTTTTTGAGATGTTTAACGTTTTTTTTTTGTTTTTCATTAGATCTGAGTTGGGGCTGACTTACCTTTGGGTCTTTAAGGACTTTCAATAATTTGCAGTATTCTATTGTTTATTATCTCACATTGCATTTCAATTATTTTTTTAAATTTTAAATAATAATAAAACTTAATTTTAAAACAGAAAAAACTATTTAATTCCTTTGATTTGTTTAATTGCTTTATACATGTTTTTCATGTGCATGTTATCAAATGTTTTTAATTGATGGTTTTCATTCATTCATACTTATAAACAAATGCAATTATTTTGTAACTGTGATTTTGTGTAAATAGAAAATACTTGAATACCCTCTTTTTAAGTTTCACACCAATAATGGTGATTTAAAACAAAAAATGTATATGTATTTCCAGTGGGGTCTTTCTGGATGTTGAATTTGGAAGATGAGATCTTAGTCAAAAAGAGAAAGAAATTGTCTTGGATCTATATCAAGTTGGCAATGAAATGAAATGTTCCTGACTTTGTCATATTATTAGGAAGGAACATGCCTATTCACTAATGAACATTAATGAAATTCAAAGTAACTGCATGACTAACTTCCTCAAGTCACGCTTGATTGCACTCACAAAGAAAACAGCCTACTCCATCACAAGACTGAAGTAAAGCTCTGGAAAAACCTACTTCAATTGTTGGAGACACTTCATGTTCACACTAAATATTGAACAGAGAATTTTAAGGTAAATATGTCATTAATTATTATTGTTATTATTCAGGTATACTTCTTATTTTATAAACTCTTACCGAAAAACAATATAAATTCAGGCACAGAAATCTTGGCAATAAAATATAATTTTTTTTTGCAACTGGCATTAAATTAATATAATTACAATAATAAGTAATAAAAGATAAGTTAAAAGCATTAGAAATTTTAAAAATTATGTTGTACAGTATAATCAAAAACTATAATATGTACCAGAATAGGAAGCTTGCTGATCTTGTATTGCACTGCTGACTGGGATAGTCATAATTCATAAGTGTAAGCTAAATTACGGTGATTAATTTAATTAGCGATGATAAGGAGACAATTATTTCGAAGTTCCCTCTTTCCAAGAGGGGAATGCTTTGTGAAAATTAGTACCCGCCGTACTCATTTTCACAAAGAAATACACACAACTGGTTAGCTAACAATATGCCAATACATGAACACCTGCGAAGGAAGGTTCAATCACGTAGTTGCCCAGCAAACGTCTGTACTGTATGGGGGGGGGGTGCGCTACTGATGTACTGTGTAGCGGATGAGGATGAAGCATACATAATAAGACTAGGCCTAGGCCCAGGCCTAACTTGACAGTGCAATAATATGTGATAGAAAGTACACTTTTGAAAGAAATAAATTACAATCAAAAAAATCAAAAACAAATAACTAAGAATAATTCAGTTATTATTATAAGCGCCGCCCTATTTTGCAGAGCTTCAAGTATATTTTCCAATATTGTGTAGGGGTCCCAAGCCGATGAACCATATTTTAATAATGGTCTAACTAAAAATTTGTATGCCATATCATTAATATTGATTGGACAAGAGTGAAGGTTCCTTCTTACAAAACCAAGAGACCTATTTGCTTTAGACAGTTAGGTCTTGTGATACACCGACTCCTAGGTTTGTATGACTTCTTAAAAGATGTATTATTTAACGTATATTTGTGTATATGTGGCAATCTTGAATGTGTCAGGTGCATAATAAAACATTTTTATGGATTAAATTCCATCTGCCACATATCTTGCAACTTTGATAAATGTATCTAAGTCTTTTCGAAGTATTTTAGTATCTTCTGGTCTGGTTATTGTAGAATACGAAACACAATCATCAGCAAAAAGCCTTAAATTTGAAACTAATTTCTCTGGCAAATCATTCATAAAAATTAAGAAATCCATTGGGCTGGTCAGAGTGCCCTGGGGACGCTGGAAACAACATCGACCATTGGGAAATTTCCCCATCCACAACAAGGCATTGCTCTTTTTTGGTTAGAAATGATCTTATCCACTCATGGGTTTTGTCTCGGATCCCGTATCGCAATATTTGTAAGCAGCCGTAGGTGAGGTACTTGATCGAAGGGCTTTTGAAAATCCATTATTACCATATCTGTTTGTTTCATATTATCTAAATTTTGGGCAATGTCATGTATTGTTGAAATGAGTTGAGTCTCACATGAATGACACTTCCTGAACCCATGCTGTTGGTGACATAATATGTTAAAAGAGTCAAGGTGTGTCATTGTGTGTGATTTTACAATATGCTCCAGCACCTTACTGCATACAAATGTTAGATTAACTGGCTTATTGTTTGTAGGGGAGGTACAGTCACCATTTTTAAAAATAGGAGTGATATTAGAGCACAACCAGTCAGTTGGAATGACACCAGTTTTGGAAATGGTGAGGCTGCAACAATTTCTTCTGCTGTTATCGAAAAGAATTCGAGGTTATATATTGTCTGGGCCGGGGGCTTTGTGAGGGTTAAGTTCGAGAAGTTGCTTTATCACACCCTCTGGGTCAACAACTACAGTATGTCATGTATTGGTGGTGTATCACTCTCATTTTCATAAGGCATGTCTAAAACTCTCCTTTGTGAATTGGGAAAAATATTGTCAGTGATTAAATTCCTATTACTAATGTTCTTGCTCTGCATATAAAGTTAATTATTTTGTGTGCAGCCAGCATTTAGCATTTGAATCAAAATATTGGCACATAACACACAATCTAGGTCACATAAAATACACAAATATAATTAAAAATAAAAAAAAATAAACTCAATTAAAATGATAAAAATAATAATAATAATAATAATAATAATAATAATAATAATAGATAAAAACCAAATTGTATTACTTTAATCTAGTAAATTACTCAACTCATGTTCCTGGACTATGCTGGAATGCTTTGCTTTTTCAATAGTCTTCTTATGGTTGGACTCATGTTATCAAGATCTGCAATATTCTTGTTTGCATTCTCCATGTTTGTTTGTACACTTTCAGCTCTTCCTTATTTTCTACTCTGCAAATGAATGGACTTGGCTGCCATTGTTTGATATACTGATGGCATGACTTCAAAAGTATAAGAAAATCTACAACATAATAATCATAATAACAAGAAAAACAATGTTTCTAACAATAATAAAGATGTACAGTAGGCCTATGTGTGCTGACATCAATTTCAAAGGGATGCTCAAGACACTCAAGATAAAAAAAAAAAAACAGAGAAATCATAATGTTACCTGAAATCTCAATCTATCTAAACCATCCAAAAAAAAAAAAACACAATAAAAAGGAAACAAAAATCCAGAATAAGGATCTACTGGCAGTGGTGGCGCTGTTAATGTAATTGTGATATGATTTCTTTTACATTCAACAGCAAGTAACTCACCTATTACAGGATGGAAGAATGATGCTTTCTAGAATTAAATTATATTTTTGAGATAGTAGGGAGTGGAGCTGTTTTTATTTGTGAGAAAAATCCCAGGACCCTAGGGATTGGAAAGCAAGCATGTTATTTTAAAAAAAAATTTTTTTTAAATTTATTTATTTAGGCTCACAGCCACATGCACCAATAATACTGCCAATAGTGAATATGTCACTGTCCTACTTGTAGGTGACAATTGCTTTTCACAAGACCAAAACACACACACGATGCTTTGCACAGACTAAATCTCAATATGATATTTAAAGAATGGAGTTGTTTTGGTCAAGAGAAAAAATCCTGAAACACTGACAGGAATGAACACGAGACCCTTGGTTGAAAAGCAAGCACCTAACCACTGAGCTATTCAACTCCACTCCAATAACCACCAAATTATTTAGCTCTATTTCAGGAAAAAACTGTCTGACAGAGGTGAAAACATTCTGACAACTGTTTGACAATTTTTGGCAGAGGCCAGTTGGGGCACCATGTACTGATGAGGTACCATTCCAAACCTTTAGTAATGCCCTAGCTGGCACCCAATCAAGGTTTTTGAGATGTTTTTTTTTTCATTAGATCTGAGTTGGGGCTGACTTACCTTTGGGTCTTTAAGGACTTTCAATAATTTGCAGTATTCTATTGTTTATTATCTCACATTGCATTTTAATTATTTTTTTAAATTTTAAATAATAATAAAACTTAATTTTAAAACAGAAAAAGCTATTTAATTCCTTTGATTTGTTTAATTGCTTTATACATGTTTTTCATGTGCATTTTATCAAATGTTTTTAATTGATGATTTTCATTCATTCATACTTATAAACAAATGCAATTATTTTTTAACTGTGATTTTGTGTAAATAGAAAATACTTAATACCCTCTTTTTAAGTTTCACACCAATAATGGTGATTTAAAACAAAAAATTTATATGTATTTCCAGTGGGGTCTTTCTGGATGTTGAATTTGGAAAATGCGATCTTCGTCAAAAAGAGAAAAATATTGTCTTGGATCAATATCAAGTTGGCAATGAAATGAAATGAAATGTAGTTCCTGACTTTGTCATATTATTAGGAAGGAACATGCCTATTATGAACATTAATGAAATTCAAAGTAACTGCATGACTAACTTCCTCAAGTCATGCTTGATTGCACTCACAAAGCAAACAGCCTACTCCATCACAAGACTGAAGTAAAGCTCTGGAAAACCTACTTCAATTGTTGAAGACACTTCATGTTCACACTAAATGTTGAACAGAGAATTTTAAGGTAAATATTTCATTAATTATTATTGTTTTATAAACTCTTACCGAAAAACAATATAAATTCAGGAACAGAAATCTTGGCAATAAAATATAATTTTTTTTGCAACTAGCATTAAATTAATATAATTACAATAATAAGTAATAAAAAATAAGTTAAAAGCATTAGAAATTTTAAAAATTATGTTGTACAGTATAATCAAGAACTATAATATGTACCAGAATAGGAAGCTTGCTGATCTTGTATTGCACTGCTGACTGGGATAGTTGGACTGTTTATGCATGTTTATAAGTATATTGAAGGTTTCTAACATGACTTATGTCCTGTAAGCTTGTACATCAATAAACCATACAGTATGCAAAAAAAAAAAAAAAATGAAAAAACTAAAATTTTGAAAATCTAATTATCCAGTCCTTTATAATAACCCATATATTTACTACTTACATATAAAATGAAAACATAATGCTTATGATAATATAGGATTATTTTAAAGCTTACCCTGGTTTAACAAATGGAGAGATACGATTTAACGCATTATGCTTTACTCTATATACTTCTGAGCATGTGCAGAACTTGACCAAGGCATAGTATGGTATTTGAATGGATTCTAACTCTCTATAAGAATATGCAACAGATGTCAAACTGTAGGTGAAGTATATACAAAATAAATACTACATCACTATCATAAGAAAGTAATTAGGTTTAACTTTATTTACTATATTAATATTTATCTAGTCCAAAAGATAATAACTGTTAACACAATCATTGAAATTGCTGGAAAAGGTTATCGAGAATGTGTTGGGGTGTACCATTTGCTTTAAGACTTGAAAATCCAAAATTCCTCAACTGCCTCAGTTTCTGTTTGGCATGTCTGGAAGATTGGGTTAGTCGAAGGGTCAGCAGACTTGCCCAAATTGCTCAAAATCATATTCCATTCCAAAGAAAAAAAAGTAGAGATAAAGAAAAAATAAGGTAAATGATGTACAAATGGATGAATTAAATCAACACTATATGATATAAATACAAAATTGTCTTTTCTTAATAAATTACTAAACAGTGATGAAAGCACAGCAATGCAGTCACATGAAAAAGTAATTACAGCATTGAAGGACAGAACTAATGAATTGCCAAAAACAGAGCCAGATGATATGGACAAATTTACTTTTTGTAAACAAACAGCAAATGTCTTCATTGAGACAATGTGCTATTCACGGCTGTTTCATTGCATACATAATTGCGACATTAAGTGTTTAAAACGCACTTTTTATTATAATAGGATGCGTGCACGTTCCATGTAGCTACTTCATGAACTTCTTTAGGATAGTCCATGGCAACAATGGCCGCAAAATTTTGCGAAAATATGTATTTGATTTTATAGAAATAAACTAATTTAATAATAAAATGTATCAAGTATACGTTGGTACAGTGTTTTATAGGAATAGGCTTTATAGATGCTGTAAAACATGTAAGACCTATACAATTTTTTATTTAACGTTTTCTTCAACCTATTTTTTGTCTCTTTAGCCTGGACGCATTCGAAACTACATATACAGCACATGTTTTGTGCGCTCTATAACCCTCTGCACCAGCGTTCAACGAACCCGTAATGGGGGCCTAGGAAGTTCTTACTTTGTTACATAAGCTGTTATATAAAATATTAGTAAGACCATTAATATAATACATTATTTCATAACATGGGCTTAATTATGCAAACCAAAGAATATAAATTACACTTTAACGTATATTATTAAATAATAATCAGTCGTTTGTAAACTTTTTCTAGGGGACCAAGTTAGAATGTAATTTCTAGGTCACTATTTTTGTGTAGTCAATATATTCCTTGCACAAGTTCTACTGTTTAGTCTACCTCACCTCTTCATGCCACTTAAATCTCCACTGAGAATACAAAGTTATTATTGGCCTCTACTCCTAAGAATATGTATATTTGTATCGTCACAGGGGTTAAATTAAAATATTGTAAATGAAATTTGTGCAAAAAATTATAAAATTAATGTTAAAAACATTATCACAGCGAAGCAGCAGTGGCACCAGGAATTTTCTGACGAAGGGTCAGACGTGACTGATGCAGAGCCACTGCACAAAAGCAGAGATGGAAGCTGGGAGTGCATACACCACATTAATTTTTAAAATGCTCTCACAGATTAGAAGGTTAAAAGAATACATCAGAAAATCAATTTTTGTATCAATTACCTTGTATATATAATTATTTAGCATTATGAGCTATATACTTATAACATATAAGTTATATCTTTATTAATATTATCATAACTGTATTTATTTAGTCCAAATTATAATAATAATAATCAAATTATATTATTAAAATTACAGGATTTCAATTCAAGATGGCCGCCAGTAAGTTGGAACAGTTTCTGGAAAATGTTGATGAGAAGGTCTTGGAGTGTACCATCTGCTTTAAGAGACTTAAAAATCCAAAATCCCTCATTTGCCTCCATAGTTTCTGTTTGGCATGCCTGGAAGACTGGGTTAAGACTAAGGAAGAGCTGATTTGTCCAACTTGCTCAAAATCTTATCCCGTTCCAAAGGGCGGGCTTCAAAAGCTTCCACCAAATACCTTTCTAAATAACTTATTAGAAACTATCGAACAATTTTCAGAGAAAGATCACATGAAATGTAGTGTTTGTCAAAAGGAAGAACCGGTAAAATACTACTGCCAGGATTGCAGACAGTACTTGTGCTCTACTTGTATTGATCAACATAAAAAGTTTAAAGCCATGGCAAATCACAAGTTACACTTAATGGAGGATGTGCAATCAATGAGCCCCTCTCAGATGACTTTGTTACATCCACCTCTGTGTTCACATCACAGTAAACCTTTGGAGTTCTACTGCACAGATTGTAAAACTCCAATATGTGTACATTGTATACTTATGGACCACAATGCATGGAATGGAAAACACAAATCAATCAACATTTCAGACGCATTCCAAACATTTAAAGAAACTTCAGTCACCTTGCAAAAATCTGCTCAACACTTTTTTAACAAATTAGAAGATGGTCTCAAAGCTGTTATAAAGAATGCTACAAAATTAGACAAATGTAAAGACACATGTTTGAGAGATATAGACAATCACGTTGAAGAAATATTTAAAAAAGTAAAGGAGAATAGAGACAAAATGAAAAATGAAGTAGAGACAATCTACAAAAGAAAAAAGAAGGTAAATGATGTACAAATGGATGAATTAAAAACAAAAATATCTGATATAAATACAAAACTGTCTTTTCTTCATCAATTATTGAAAAGTGATGAAGGCACAGCAATGCAGTCAAGTGAAACAGTAATTACGGCACTGAAGGACAGAATAAATGAATTACCAAAAACAGAGCCAGATGATAATGGAAACATTTACTTCTTCATAAACAAACAGCAAATGGCTTCATTGAGACAATGTGATATTGGGACTATAAAAGAATTTAGGGCAGCAGACTGTTTAACTTTAAAAGGAGAGGAATCTGTGATCAAAGATCAAACATTTATTGTCAAAATAATCGAAACAGAAGAACATGAAATATATGCAAGTCAACTGAAGGCAACATGGATACAGCCTACAGGGGAAACCAACATCTCTCAAATTCAGGAAGATGACAATGGAGATTACTTTGTGACAGGAAAATGCACAAGTCCAGGAGTTTGTAAACTAGACGTGAGTGCTGGTGATAAACCAATTAACCAATCACCAATGATAATCAAAGTAGAAGAGGGAAGATTAGTAAATACTATTGAAGTAAATGCAACATATATTACAGATGTAGTTAAGTGTGAAGATGACTTCTTACTGGTTTCATGTGCAACAAATGAAATGCTCAAGTACAAGCAATCAGGAGAATATATTGGTAAGGTTACACTACC